TTGAGCTTCTCCATTGTCAGACAGCTCAGTTCTCCAAGAAGGATGAACTGTTCTCCAGAGGTGCTCATGGCCCCTACTCTTGTTGATAGGTGCTGCTCAGCAGCTCACAAAGGATCTGAGCATGCCTGGTTGCCTTTGTTTTTGATTTCAGCCCTCACTCGAGAGCTGAAAACCTACCTCATCCAGAGGAGGAAAACAACAGCATTTACCTTTGTATTTTTGAAGGGTTTCAAAACCAATCATCAAGAAAGCATACAAACCCTGCCAAGATGCATTAAGCGTTCCTTCGTTCCTCTCTGTAGCTCCCCCACTCCCTCACCTCCCAAAGAACTGGAGCAAACAAAAATCCTGGCTCTGCAGTTGGGGTGATCTGATACTTCATTAAGGAAGAATAAATAGGTTCCCCCCTGGGCTCAGAGGCTGCAGCCACACGGAGTGGTATGCCTTTAGAATATCTGATCTCCACAGTGAGGCTGACTGTAGCTGAGCGAGAATCTCTGGCAGCCTTTGACCAAGGTCACTCTGAAGATCAGTGACAAATGAGTACCAGACCTGGGGATCCTGGACCAGGCTGCTCCTTCCCGACTGGTTTCCACGCCACCCCCCTCCAGGAGCGAGCGGCCAGCTGGTAGGCAATTACATGTGCTAATGCCACTGACACTTGAACATCAATGCCATGCTCCTGCGTTTGTTAGAACACATGACCCTCACCCCATTTGGGCTGCTCTCATCTAAGATAAGGGAAACAAGCTCTAAGTTAGAGCCAGAGGCCCCGAGTCCATCTGACAGATTCCAAGGCCAATTGCTGGCAGCACAGATCAGCTCTCATTCACAGCAGCTGTGTGTCTTCGGATGTGTTCTGGAACTCTGTTGAACCCCAGTTTTCTTTTCTTAAAATTGGATAATGAATGTGCTTTGCACAGTTGTTAGGGATGGTTACATGCACACCACAAGGATGATCAGCATAAGATAGAGTAGGTCCCTGGTGCCTTTGCTGGATGTCAGAATGAAAACAAATTCTCTGACCCTGCTACCTGCAAGAAGAAGATGGTGATTCCTGCTTTACGTCATATTAAATGAGAAAATGAGATGGTGTTATACAGAAAAATAGGTGCTTTTTTTTTCATGTACTGATTTTTTTTCTAGTTTTTTGGTAAGTTTTTGTTAAGTTTCTAGTATTTTGTAAATTATATATTCTGACTGTCTGTTTATTTATACACACTAAAGATTGAATCCAGGGCCTTGCTTATGATAGACAAGTGCTCCCCAATGAGACACATCTCAGGACATTTTATACTTATTATTTGGGCAAACCAATGAAATCTTATGCAGTCATCCATCAGTACTCATGGGGGATTGAACCTAGAATCCCCCATAAACAGCAAAATCCATAGATGCTGACATCTCTTATACAAAACAGGACAATATTTGTATAGATCTTGCATATCTACATATACATTAAGTTCTCTGTGGATTATTTATAATACCTGCTATAATGTAGATGCATTTATAAAATGCATAAAATATAAAAGCAATTATGCCCTATTATCTAGGGGGATTGACAAAATTGTCTGTACATGTTTGATATGGATTCTAATGTGGCCACAAACCAAAGAGATGCCACAGTGGACTCTTGGTGTGATTTTCAGAATGACACACTTGGTCATTAGACATTGCCTTGTGCTGGGGGAAGGGGACAGGGAAGAAGGGCTCCCCAGAGGCTCACATCCAGGCTATAAAGTCCTGAGAAATAACACAATCCCAGAAGAAGGTCATAGCATCCTCTCATAGGCTGGTCAAAGTCTCGGTTGATGGGGGTGGGAGGAAATAACATAGTTATCTTCTGAATTTGTGGGTGATGTGTTCCAGAATCCCCTGTAGATACCAAAATCATTGCATGCTCAAGTCTTATATATAAAATGACATAGTCTTCACACAAAACCTAAACATATCTTCAAATATTGTCTTAGGGTTTCTATTGCTGTGAAGAGACACCATGACCACAGCAACAATTATAAAGGAAACATTTAGTTGGGGCTGGCTTACAGTTCAGAGGTTCAGTCCATTATCATCATGGCGGGACATGATGCTGGAGGAGGAGCTGAGAGTTCTACATCTTGATCCACAGACAGCAGAAGGAGACTGTGTGCCACACTGGGTATAGCTTGAGCATAAAAGACCTCAAAGCCCTCCCCTACAGTGACACATTTCCTCCAACAAGGCAAAACCAATTCCAAAAAGGTCACACCTCTTAATAGTGCCACTCACTATGGGCCAAGCATTCAAACACAGAAATACATGAGTCTATTGGGGCCATACCTATTAAAACCACCACAAATATCCTTTAAAGATTTATTTGTGTGTGTGTGTGTGTGTGTGTGTGTGTGTGTGTGTGTGTATGTGTGTGTGTGTGTGTGTCTCCCTCTCCCTCTCCCTCTCTCTGTGTCTGCGTGTGTGTAGGTACTTGCATGTAAATTCAGGTACTTCTGGAGGCCAGAAAAAGGTATCAGATCCCCTAGATCTGGAGTTATAGGCACCTTTGAAGTACCTGACCTGGTGCTGGGAACATAATTTGGGTCTTCTGTGATAGTAATACAGAGCACTATGAGGTCTTAACTACGAAGGCATTTCTCTAGCCCCCACAATTCTTTCTTTTTGAGTTTTTTTTTTTTTTTGAGGTCCACCTGTCTCTGTCTCCCAAGTGCCAGGATTAAAGGCATGAGTCACCATGCTTGGGTACCCCCACATAATCTTGAAATCATCTCTAGATGAGTTAACATACCCATACAAACAAACTCAATATAAATGCTTCTTGTACTGTATAGGGAATAAAGATAAGGAAAAGATGCCTTTTCATGCTTAGTATAGGTGTAATTTTTTCTCTCTAAGTACCTGTGACCCATAGTTGGCTGAATCCTCAGCTGCAGAACTCCTGGAGCCGAGTTCTGTGTTTGCTGCTCAGCTCCTGACCCTTTCACTTAATACCTGTGTGACACTGGGAATTACCCAGTCTCAGGGGGCCTTGATTTTCTCCCATTTTTTTAAAGACACATGGATGTGCTAAAGGCCATCCAAGATTATTAATCTGTACAGAGGGTTTCTCTTAGGGTTTCAGGGGTTCTGGAGACTTGAGGATACCAGCTAGAGCAACTACCACTTTGTGAACACTGTGTCCTGCTTCACACTCATGACCTTGTCCTGTGTTTATACCAACCGGGGGAGGGGGCTGATATTCCTGACCCCACGTCACTCATGGGCAAATGAAGATTCCAAGAGGCTAATTAACTAGTTGCACAATTAATTAACCATAGTAGAGGCATCTGGGCCCAATCAATGGGACCCTGGGGCCCAGGTTTGTAACCTTTGAGCTACGGGGGTCTCCTGAGAACATGATAGGCAAAGATCACTTTTTCAGGAAGCAGCAAGGTAACACTTCACGCAGCAGGCGAGAGCTCACTGCAGCAAGGACAGGTGGAGCATCAGGGCGTTGCAGGCTGAGGATGGTGAGCAGGAGCTGCAGGTAGCTAACAGCCCTGGGAAACAGGAGGCCGGAGAGTCTGGTGGCCAAAGGCTGGGCTCTGTTAAAGGTGCAAGTCTTCCCCGGCCCTTCCTCCTGCTGACTGCGCCACAGTGGCTTCCAAGCCTACAGAACTGGGAGACCCTGCTAATCTCACGAGGCTGCTTGCTGAAGGGACCAAGGAAGCAGGCTGCTGGTACCAATGTCCTGTTGCCGGCTACAGCCAGCACACAGTAGATGCTCATGGTTGCTCCCCGTCTCTCCCTGGACCCGCGGTTATTCTAGAGACACAGGGCGAAGCATGGCTGCAAGGGCTCAGGTTTCCGCCTGAAGAACCCTGGAGGCGGAAACACCGGCGGCGGCTGGAACTCAGCCCAGGGGCTGGACCGCTGGAATTTACATCCTGACGATTTACCAGTCAGTTACCTCAGACATGCTAACTTAATCTACCAGCACCTCAGCTTCCTTATCTGTGAAGTGGGCCTGGGGACCATCCATATCAAGCATTTAAAATCAGGGCCCAGCTCATGGTTCGCATTCAACACACACTGATTTCGGCTCTGATCAGCCCCTTTGAGAGCTTGGGCTGAGAAGCAGTCTCCAGGAGCCGAGGGTTATTTGACAGACCTTAATATCCTTGTGGCCCCGCCCCCTGCATTCCCATCAAATCCTGTTAGGACAGAAGTCCCTGTGGGTTGGGGTGGAGTACTCCCATGGGAGGACGGTTTGTCATCAGGCAGTGGTGGGAAGAGATTTGAAAATGACATGGCCGTCCAGAGAACAGCCGAGGGAGTGGGTAAAGGGGGTGTTCACGCGTTATTTGGTTTTTGTGCCTTTTTCATTTGGATCCAGGCAGGACTCATATGATCGAGCTGGCTGGTGTATTTGTTTTGTTTTAGATAAAGAAAACCCAAGGCCCCTCTGTGAGGGCCCTGGCCAGCCCATGAGTAATTTCCACCTTGCTGGAGGGGACCCCTGGGGTATAAGTCTGAAGCATTCCATGAGGCCCATATCATCCTCAAGGTGGAGGGGAAGACAGAGAGGGTGTGCTCCCAGACAGAGATTTTTACTCTGCAAAGATTGGTCAGAAAAGTGAGGACGCTAATATTTCACAGAGAGACGAATAGAGGGGACAGGAGAGGACAGAGGGACAGGAACACAAATGGTAACCAACAGAGACTGGTCAGAAAAGAACAAGACACCTCCCATCCTGTAATCCTCAGGGACCCATACTCCAAGGATCTGCTTATTGTTCATCCCCCACCCACCTCCCACCCGGTCTGCCATTTCAACCAGCAGAGCCTCAGCCACGGTAACGGAGCTGGGAGCCAGGTGCCAGCAAGGGGCGGGGGAGTGTAGTGCACCCGCAAGCAAAGCTTGGGACTCTCCGCCCCTGCCTCCAGAGGCATCCCCAGGACCCATTCTCACAGTTCCCGCGCCCTTCCCCCGTCGCCCCTCCCGCCCCCCTCTCCCCTCCACCTACTTGAGCTGGCGCGGCTCGCAGTCCACACCCGGCAGCAGCAGCCGGGCGGCTTGGCGGACATCATCGCTGTCCATAGAAAAGCTGCGGCGGTGGCCGGCATGCGCCACGGCCACTCGGATCCACTCCATCAGAGGGGGCAGTACGAGGAAGGGCCTGCGCAGGAGGAGGGAGGCGGGGATGTGTTAGGACCGTCAGGGAACCTGGGCTGCTCAGACCCACCCCGACTCGCGGAGACCCCTATCCCACCCCTATCCCTACTTCCACCCCCACACCATCCGGTTTCCCTGGAGACCCTGCCTGGAAATTCCTGAGTGCGAGAGCCTTTGGAGACATCCTGACCCCACTGGTGACCCCGGGGCAGACTCTCCAGACTCTCCGGGTCTCGGTTTCCTCATCTGTGAAAGGGACTACCAAGGCCACCAAAGGATGCAGTGTTAACAGTGCCGTGAGAGCTGTCCCTCCCGAAGAGGCTGTGCATGTGGAGATGAGTCACTTCAAGCGCTAGCGCCGGGTCTGGAGCCAGAGGAACCTGGTGTTACTCCAGATTGCCAGCCCGACCCAAGGAACCCTGGCTGTCTCCCTTCCCAGCCCTGCCAGCTTGTTGACACCCTTCTGGCCTCAGCTCTGCACTAGCACCAGGCTAAGGAAAGGCACAGAACACCTGCCAAAACAGGATGGGAGCCAGATGCAGTTAACCTTCACAAGCGGGACTGCTGGGGCCCAGGGGCAGCCAGCAAGGCCGGACCTGGGGACACGGCGCACATTCCAGACACTGTGGGAGCCACTGGGTGCAATGCGCACTGTGGGGATCCAGTTGTGGCAAGCGTATGCCCCTGCTTAAGCCATAGCTTTCCAAGCCGATTTGAGCCTGCCTTATGTTTCTTCCAGGGTCTTCCATAGTCTCTTCTCACATTTGTATCCTGGGGTGTGAAAATACTTGAGTCCCACTCCAGGGTTTAGTTGGTATAGTATGAGGCTGGGCCTTGGTAATTTTTAAAACCTCCCCTGTGTGTTTTTAATGTGCACCCCAACTCCCTGGATGGCTTGTTAAAACACAGATTGCTGCCCCCCCTCCCGCACTCCTGCTGCAGTTTTGATTCGCTGGGTTAGGAGAGGAACCCAGAAAATCACATTTTTAATCAGTCCCCGCTGTTACTCCTGCTGGCCCAGGAATGTCATTCAAAGAACTGCTGTAACTGAAGGAGGGATGGAGAATCACCTGGTGGTGCAGAGGCAGACTCCTTGGCCTGTCTCAAGAGATGATGCGTGCATAGAGTTTAGGACACAATCTGAGGGAGGGCGCAGCAGGTGAAGTCTCTTGCTGCCAAGCCCGACGACTGGAGTTCCATTCCAAGGAACCAACTCCTGAAAGCCATCCTCTGGCCTCTACATGATGCACACCATGGCATTGTGCCCCCCAAATAAATAGATGCAATTAATTTTAAAATGAACATCATTTGAATAAGCACCTCCCATGTCTAATTTAAGTAGACTATACTTTGAGAATGGTGTTATATAGACCTGCAAGATTTCCTACCACTTGGCAAGACATGGACGCCTCTGTGGCAAGGGTACCCTGGGTACCAGATTTAAGGAAGCAGGATCCTATAGCCATGGGAGTACAAAAAGGGTGTACAAGGCATCCACTCTCTCTCAAAACACAGATGTCAGGAGGTTCCACAAGGTTTTGGTGCCATAGTCCAGTTTCTGAGAGTCAAGCTGCTTGTATGATGTTAAAAATGCCTTTTACACTCATCTTAGCTAATCATGATCATGAGATCTTCTAAATGTTTAGGCCAACTGCCAGCTAGTTATGATGCCTCTTTTAGCATCAATAAAACCATGTTTACTGATGTTAGGAGCCTTCCTGACCTTGGATCCAAAGGTTTTCAGAACTAAGAATCAGACTCAAGTTGTTTGGTTACACAGTCTATATGCTGTTATCCCATGTAATCTTACCAGTCTCTCATCCTGCTTCCCAGCATGCACTCTGTAACCCAGAATACATCTGCTGCTCCAGGGGAGCTGGCCTGGTCTCTGATCTTTAAAGGCATGTAATGTTCATTTTTTTTGTCATGCAGCTCAGTCCCCTGTGTGTAAGATCCTCACCTCTTCAAAAGTCCACACCCTATTTAACCTTTGCCACAGTTCAAGTCCGACCTTCCTTAAACTCTTCTCCTGATAATTGTGCCACACACAACACTCTCATGCGGCTTCCACTCTGAAGGACTTTACACATTCTGCAGATGCCTGATTAGCATGTCAACTCCATCAGTGCAGAGGCCTGGGCTGTCCAGTTCACTGCTCCATCGCTGACCCAGGCTGGAAGCCCTTAGTGTCTGTTCATGAAACAGACTAAGACTTGTCAATTTCTTACTGGCTGATACTAAGAAAATCAAGTTTCTGGGCCTGGGACCTAGAGGTCAGACTCTCAGGGAATTTCTGTCTGCATCAGCCTGCTCCTTAGGCTGTCTCTCACATTCTCCCCATCTCTCCATCACCTAAACTGAATCAGGCACTCAATAAACACACCGACTCGAAATTGAATTGGATTCCACTGTCTCCAGGGGAAGCAGGTTTTATTTCAGTCCCTGTGTCTCGGTCGCTGCTGGAAACCAGTCCCAAGTGCCCAGAGAACCCCCAGGTTGTCTCTCAGAGGCAACCCCTCCCATCTTTGCTCAGTGGTCCCCAACCCTGGTCCCTGGTGGATAGAGTGTCCATCATAAAACTGCTCGAGTGCGGCTGCCTTCACGCTGGAGGCTGGAACACACAGTGTGCCTGCTGAATGCCAAAGAGAGGCCCTGCCACGTTCTAAGTCACGTCTTTACCAAGCCAGGTGGCCAGCCCGGAATAAAAAGCTTCAAGCCCAGAAGTTCAGCCTCCTCTGGAAGTTTCTATGTTCCTATTTTCTCAACACCGATTCCAGCAGTTTATAAGCTCATGAATTCTTTGCCAGCAACTCATTTAAAAAATCTTATCTTGTCTGCTCAAAGGGGACAAAATAACATTATTTGTGATGTTTTCTTTGGAAGAGATAGTGATGAAAAAGAAATTTAGGGCCTCGAGTCAAATGGTGTAGAGAATGCTGTGTATGATCTCTCCCTTCCTCACCTCACCCCGTGTGTGTGTGTGTGTGTGTGTGTGTGTGTGTGTGTGTGTGTGTGTGTGTGTACATGGGAAGCCAAAGAAAACCACTGGTATTGTTTCCCAGGGGCCATTCACCTTTCCTTTTCTTTTTAAGGCAAGGTCTCTTAATGGGGTCTGGGGCTCTCTCATCCAGGTGGGCTAGAATAATTACAAGTGTGCACCATTATGCCTGGATCTTTATTTTTTCCTTAAAGGTGAATCCTGGGGCATTGACCTCAGGTGTTCAAGCTTGTAAAGCAAATGCTTAACTCCAGCTACCACCCCAGCCCTCTTCTTACGTATTTTTAAAGGGGATCATGATTTATTGGCCCCTTACTTTGTTTATAGGTAGTCAGTTAAAGCCAAGCAGAGCCTGTGGAGGAATTAATGACATCATCACAGGCTCCCTAGCTTTTGTGTCAACAGAGCTGGGATGGGTTCAGTTGGGCTGAAGTGGGTTCTGGGCATCTGCATTCTAAGCCCGCTCTCCTGGCAGTTCTGGAACACAGCAAGGTTGTGAACTAAGCCCCTGGATGAATGGGGAGGAGCATGGTCCCCTCAGACAGTGCTGTGTCCTTCATTGTAGCTCCAGACAAAGTTCATGGAGTGGGACTAGAGACTCTGAAAGGGAGGAGAAAGCTTACATGGGCTTCTGCAAGGTCCAGCCAGCAAGTCAGCTCAGGAGAGCCATCAGAGCCAGAACCCAGGACCCAGGTAGGAGGACATAAGCAGATGTAGCCCCTCCCTGAAACCATGAAGAGAGGTGGCGAGGTGAGGGCCAGGGACTGTGGCTGGTGATCCTGCAGCACCAAATTCCAGTTCTGGGTCTGTCAAGAACTCACCATGTGACCCTGGCTCTGGCCAATAGCCGCTTTAGCCCTTACCAGCATTTGTATCGTGGGGTGGGTTCGGGTGAGACCGCTCAGTTTGTGGGCTGCCAGCCATCTCTGTAGATGGCCAGATAGAATAGGCTAGACTTCGTGGGCTGCATGGCCTCTGCTGCAGCTAACTGTCTCTGCAGCTAATTATCTCTATCCAATAATCTTTCCCCCACAGTGAGAAAGCATCTACAAAACTAAATGAATGCAGTTAACAATTTCAATAAAACTTTATTGATAGTCAGATATCTACTCATAGTTGGCCAACTCTGGTCTGTTTAGTTTTTTTCTGATTCTAAAATTCATTGATCCTATTGGAAGAGTAAGTTGCCTGGGGACTGGGAAAGAGTCAGATGTATGTTCCAGTGGAGATGTGGAGAAGCCCATTAAGGCATTAGTGAAAAGGGCCAGGATGCTTAAGAGGATTAGAAGATGGAATTCTCCCACACAGTGTCAAATCTGGACTTGGAGGACACAGAGCCAAAGGCATTCCCACAGATAGTTATCTTGGTGATAGAACTCAAGACCTGACATGTGGGCTAACTGCAAATGTCATTTATATGTCCAATGGCCTATTAGGGAGCACCCAAGAAGTTGGCTGGAAAACATTTCCCAAAGATGCGTACTTCTAAATTACTGGAACTTGATTTCAATACGACAGATATGTTCTGCACATGTGGCCAAGCTAAGCATCTTGAGAAGAAAAGAAGATCCCAAATGGTAAGGGCATCTCTACATGCTTTCAGGAAAGAGACAAGGAGGCCAGAGGCAGAACTAGGGCACCTGAAGAAAAGACAATGGAATCATGCAAGGAAAGGGATATGGGCCGAGGGAGCTCCAGAGGCTATAGACAGGGAGGAGGGGGCTCTGCCCCAGAGCTTCCAGAAGGATACACCCTGGCACTATTGCAGGGGGTCTGATTTTGGATATCTGGTCTCCAGAATACTAAGGGCATTATTCTGTGGGAGTTTTTGCATATGTATGTAGGGGTGGTGTGTGTGTGTGTGTGTGTGTGTGTGTGTGTGTGTGTGTGTGTGTGTGTGTGTGTGTATGTACAGGAGCACAGATGCATGCATGTGTTTGTGGAGTTCCAAGGTTGACTTCAGGCATCTTTCTTGATTGCTTTCCTCCTTATGCTGAACCTGGAGC